CGAGTGTGTGTTGTGTGTGTGTGTGTGTGTTAGCGTCTATACACAATACCAGTCCCCTAACAAGACCTTCATTTCGTCCACACGCTAGCTTAAGCTCATCAAGCAAACCAGACGTGCGAGATTACGCAACTCTGGTCGTTCCTTTCCTCGGCTGGTTAAACCTTTATGCGCCCAGATTGAGATGTTAGATCAAGTGGCTTCGTTACTCGACTTACATGCTTACAAGCTTACATTTCATTATCTCCACCATACTTGCGTACGGACTTACGCAATCTTGGTCAGAGCTTTTTCTTGCATTATTAAGCCTTAGTGACCAGAGCCTGCCATTAGCCTTTAGATGACTCTGATTTAGGACCGGTATTCCGTATAGACGTTAACGCACACACACTCAAGCAAAATTAGCGGGACCAGTACCAAAGGAAATTGGCCAAACCATCTTATATCTGTCTATGCATATTCATCTTAGTTTTTAGTTATGAATATATACAAGAGTTAAGATAGAGCCGGATCTTGTTGACGTGAACTCAACCCGTTTGAAGCCGAGACGGGCGAAGATGTGTCTTGGACTGCTTCTACCAAACGGCTGCAGTAAAACCAGCTTCAACTGTTGTCTTCTGACGAGATTAACCTACGAATCTCTTCTCCACGCACTTCCAACAAGATCAGAAGAGAGCAATGCTTGTAACTCGCTTTAATTTCTCTCGAAATATGATTCTTGATATTATGATTTCTCTCGTCTCGTCTTGTTTCGCCTCGTCTTCTCTCTCCTCTCTCATCCCTCATCATCACCTTTTTGTGTGGACTATTTCATAGTTCCTGTTAGGCTAGATTTTCCTCTTTGTTTTTCTATTCAACATTGTTTACTTTTTTATCTTCATCTACATTGCCTGTAAACCTACACCAACTATTTGATTTTCTTAATTTCTTCGCCCGTGTTGCCAGTTTAGCTAATCTGCTTTTTTTCCGTTCTATCAGAAAGTTTCTCGAACTTGGCGGCCTTCCTCGGGTCCAGTACATTTGGCAGCGTAATGACGGCATCATGAGTCTGCCAGGCCGGGGATCTCTGTCGACCGGGTCCAAAATGTCGAGGTCCACCTATTCGATTCCAGTAGACCCGGATGCTCTCAAGGCCAGCCAATCGGCGTGCCAGTTACTGTTGCTACTTTGGCGATTCACCGAGCTTCAGCCGCAATATAAAAAGGTGCCATTCTTGCCTTCACTTCTCACCGTTCTCTGCTTTAGTCAGTCGGCTTCATCTAAACAGGTTCCCGTTTAAAGTATTCATAAAAACCATGAAAATTTACCCAATTTTACACGAGATCCTATGACCTTCAACCTTCTGGCTTCGTGGTATGCCAAATACTCGCACCCCCATGCGCTAGTAGCAAATTAAGAAGTGGGCTGACCTCGTTGTCGCAACTTGGTCTTGTTGTCAGGGCAACTTAGTAGAACGCACCTAGTCAGAATTCGTCTGCCATTATAGTTGTCATGACTCCCAGCATCAGACAGTGGACTTGGTACATTCTCAAACGTATCGCCGGCATCTTAGTTGGCATCATCAGTGAGTCTTGCCATTCCCCGCACCAAGCCACGAACTCGTCAAAGAGACAAGTGAAGTCAATCCCTCGACAACCGTTCTGCTAGAAACGGTTACACTATCACTCCTCTTTCTGGCATTGTCTATCTATCTACTCTTTACATTCCTATCCCACTGCCGCCCTATCACAAACTTTTCACTTTTTTACATTCCACTCGTCAAAATGTGTGCCCTTTTGTGGCAAACCAAGTGTGGCCTCATCACACTTGCTATTCACCCCGACCCCTCTCTTTTGATGGGCTTATCCCACTCGGGCCTCCAATCCGGGTATTTTCATTGTCTCGTAGATCCGTTTCTTCTCTTTCTGGTTGACCGATTTCACTCGGGTTCAGTCCTTGCGTTCTACATTAAGGATTGGATTTAAGCTGCTCAAGGTAAATACAATTAGAAGTGGTTCGACCTCGTTGTCGCAACTTGGTCTTGTTGTCAGGGTGACTTAGTAGAATGCACCTTGTCCGAATTCCTCTGCCACAACAGTTATCATAATTCCCAGCATCAGACAGAGGACTTGGTACATTTTCAGACATTTCGCCGGCATCGTAGTCGGCATCATCAGTCAGTGCCGCCATTCTCCAAGTGAAGTCGATTCCTCGACCAACTTTCTGCCAAAACGGTTGCGCTACCACTCCTCTTTCCGTCCTGGCCCATCTATCCACTCCTTACCCACTTAACCCACTCCGGCCCTATCACAAGTTCTCTCTTGTTCACATTCAACTAGTCTATTCACTTCGACCCCGTCTCTTTCGATCGGATCACCCGACTCAGGTCTTAAATTCGGATCTACTTCATGGTCCAGTTGATCCGTTGCTTCGCTTTATGGTTAACCGATTTCACTCGGTCAATGCGCTATTTATCAGAGCCTAGGCTGTGAGTCGTCTGCTTGACTAAAACCAGGTTAATATGAGATGTATTTCCACTATTTCGTTTAAGGCGATGAAGGACTGGCAGTAAAACATTCTCGCAATGACATGAGCAGAGCTGAAGTTTCCATTCAATTTCACATTGCCTTGCTTTCCCCCTTCACTACCAGTCCTTCTTCATCTTAAACCAAATTGGGTGAATCCATCTCATACTACTGATTTACTGGTTGTATAGAAACTCTACTTACACACGCAAAATAAAGCCATGTTACCTGAGCAAACTGTGGACGCCTATCGCTGGTCGCATGCGGCGTCTCAAGTGGATTTATGGTACATTTTGGCCATAACGCCGAATTTCTGTGACAGTTTGCTTGCTTATCCGTCTGTCCAGCTTTCTCACCGCCAGACCCGAAAGTTTATTCAAAACGGACATCATTCACTGACAACGTCTTCGCTTAATTGCCGAAAACCCCTCCCCCTCGTGATCCCTTTTCCTCCGGTTAGCGGTGGATCCTTGATCCAGGCGTCTCCTTTTTGCTGGTCTTGCTCCATTCTTATTTTTCCCCCGAGTTTGCTTAGGCAAACTCCTGTTCATTAAATTTTTTCCCCCAAGGATGTCAACGGCCTCCATAATCTTCAGCTTTCTTATGTCATCACCGTATGGGGCCCTCCTTTCTTTTGCCTTCCAATTGATCTCGTGTCAAGCCTGTGCGATGTGTTCCGCTAGTTCTCATCTTTCGGTATCCATTTTCCTGCAGAGCCTCTGATGTTCCTTGATTCGCCGCATGATAAAACAGTAAACTCCTGAACAATCCACTTTGTCTACCCTTTCATGTTGCGTCGGTAGACTTGTGAAAAGTGTTGATTTCTCTTTCATGGCAACCTGAATATTTCATTTACCAAATATTGGCCGTAGTTTTTACGTCCGTTCGCAGGAAGGTAGGCATATCCACTTGTGTGAATCCTTCATCATCCTCACTGTTTTTTCATAGTCCCAGTTCTGCCATCGGCTTTTCACGACCCGTATGCTTTTTTGTATCACTTCGAGGAATATACTCGTCAATTTGCCCAGCTCCTAGTCCAAGAATACTACAGATGATCATGCTTCTCATTATTCCAATCTTCAGCCTCTAATTGTATTGGGATCGGAAATTGAGTATTATCCCAGCATATGGCTTATTTATGAACAATTTCTTTTTCAGCGATCTATTAGAACGAATCACTTCAACGTCCAGGAACGATAACCACTCACCTTCTTTTACTTCCATTTTGAATTGAATTTTCGCATCAATCTGGTTTACAACCTTCAGAAACCCTTCCAGTTTTCCTTTTCCATGTAACCAAAGTGTGAAATAATCATTCAGGTACCACATGAGCACTGCCGGTTGTGGCGGTGCCATTTTGAAGCTCTCTTTTATTTTGTTCATGCCTACGTTTGCGAAAAGTGGGAAGTCCAACTATTTGTTCATGGATGTTCCCGTTGAATGTAAAATAGGTTGTCCTTATTGTCAAGTTGATTAGTCGTGTTAGCGACTAATTTCTTGAGTTTCAAGCGTATGAACTTTGCCAATTTGTGTGTTCCTCCCTACTTTTTATCTA